GGACGGACACAGGCTCCGGGGGTGTGTGTGTGTGTGTGGGGGGGCTGGCCCTGCACCATCTACGTTCAAAACCGCCGGGGCTTTTGAGTGTCCACATAGCCGTGGCGCCTGCTCGTGGACCTGCCACGCCGCGGGCTCTGGAGCCCTCGCAGCGAGGTAGTCGCCGGCGGGTCGTGGCAGCTGCCCCCCCTAACGCCCTGAGCGCCCACAGCTTGTCCGTGTTTTCCTTATGACCGGGAACTATGCCCAGCTCTGCGTGGGCGCATCGCGTGGTCCTCCGCGGGCGCAGCGCGGTGGCCGGCGGCCGGACAGGACACGGGGTCCCGCCACTCGCGCACAGACTCGTCCCTGACAGCGCTCCGCCGGGCAAACTCAAGCCATGAAGGAGTTCACAGCTCACGTGTCGCTGCAGCTCGCGGCCTGCAAGCATCTCACTGTGACGGTGCCAACATGGCCTCGCTGCGCCGGAATTCCTCCACACACTAAGTGCCACACAGCACGGAGAGCGCGCAGCGCAGTAAGTGTATGAAATCATCGTGTACACGACAAAAGACCTTCATGACAGTGCGTTTCCTGCTCCTCCTCCTGTCCACCAAACAAACCCAAAATCGTTTTGGGAACTTTGTATTATCATTATAGTTTAATAAAAACATTAGATGTGAACCTAATAACAGAAAGTAAAAGTTGTTACTTACTGAAAGAATATGCAAAACCTGCTAATTCCTGCCTTCGTATATAATAGTGTGTGTTTTTTCAAACTTTAAAGGATAGGAGTTATCCATCTGTGTTAGCAACTCAAATACTGGTGAAACTCCCAATAAAAGTAAGAAACCTAGTGGCCTCCTTAATAGTGATTTCACTACTTATATTAATTCTGCCAATCATAACAAATACATATATTATTACGAACTCATATATGAATTCATAATCCTCACACCAATTAAGTAAATGGACTTGAGAGAAAGTGACACTTCCCACTCTTGAAATAAAAGGGGAGCCAGCTGGCAAGGGCATCATGAGAGCCCCTCACAACACCATCCCCAAGGGAGGGGAGCGACACCCTGACCAGTCCAGAGGGGCTAGCAGACAGTATATTTGAAGTCATGGCTGGAAACCCCCCAACTTTGATGAGAGGCATGATATTAACATCGAAGATGCTTAACAAATTCCAACTGGGATGAACTCAAAGCCACCCATACCGAGACATAAAAGACAAGGACAATCTTGAAAGCAGCCACAGAGGCATGACTTGTCATATACAAGAGATCCCCAGTGATATTGTCAGCATTTCTTATCACAAGTGACTGACATATTCAAAATGCTAAAAACAAACAAACAAACAAACTTTCAACCAAAAATCATATATGTAGCAAATCTGTCCTTCAAAAGTGATGGGGAGGGCCGGCCGAGTGGTGCGGTGGTTAAGAGCTGGCTTGGGATGCCAGAGGGCCCAGGTTCAGATCCCACATATGAGGGCCAGTGACACTGCCCTCCACAGCTAAGATGCTGAACAACAGCTCAACCTGGAGCTGGGTTGCCATGAGTCACCGGTGAGGACTAGGCTGCAGCCCCTGTGGCAGTGGGTTGCCATGGGCTATCGTGTGTGGCCGGCAGCCAGCGTGAGCAGCCAGCAGCCTCCGTGAGCCAGTGAAGCAACGTCCTCCACAACTAGACTGAAGAACAAAACGACAGCAACTTGTCTGTTCCCCTTCCTCCAATTCCCCAATAAAATCTTAAAAAAAAAAAAAGTTGGAGGACTGACCCCCCGAGTCCAACACTACGACACTCTAATGACCAAGGCAGCACTACTGGTGAAAAAGGGACACACAGCTGAATGGTACACAGTGCGGAGCCCAGAGAGACCCCCACACAGCCAAGTGGCGCAGGTGCAGGGGTCCAACGGGAAGGGCCTCTCCACACACACGCCCGATGGGGTGCTGGACACAGGCCCAGCACCTCTCACAGGAGTCACTCACAGGCCTCAGTGAAACTTCCACAGGATGACAGGAGCAGCCGAGGTGACTCTGGGTTTGGTGACGAGTTTTAAGATACATAACCCAACTATAATCCATGAAAGAAAAATTCATAACTTGGACTTTATTGAAACATAAAACTTGTGTTTTTCCAAGTATACTGTTAAGAGAAAGAAGAGACAAGCTACATCCTTGGACAAAGTATTTGGAAAACACATATCTGAGAAAGGACTTATATACAAAATTTACCAAAATAAACCTCTCAAAACTAAACAATAAGAAAACAGACACCCTAATTTAAAAATGGGCAAAAGATCCGAACAGATACCTCACCAAAAAGTATCATATACATGGCAAATAAGTATTTGAAAAGACACTTGATGTCCTCTGTCACTAGGGAATTGTAAATTAAGACAATAATGAGATATGCCTATTAGAGGAACTAAAACCCAAATAACCGACACCAAAAGCTGTGACAGTGCCCAGTGACAGAACGTCATTTGTTCATGATGGGAACGCAAAACAACTCGGCTGCTTTTCAGCGGTTCTCAAAAGTTGGCCATAGTCACCCACATGATCCAGCTGTCCGCTCCTTGGCACTTACTTCACTGAACTTAAAACTGTGTCCACACAAAAACCCACACACGGATGTTTACAGCAGTTTTACTCACAGCTGCCCCACACTGGATGCAACCAAGGTGTCCTTCTGCAGGTGAATGGGTACACAAACAGTGGTCCATCCAGACAATGGCATATTATTTAACACTAAAAAGTGAGCTTTCAAGCTGTGAAAGACATGGTGGTACCTTCAGTGCATGTCACAAAGTGACAGAAGCCAATCTGAAAAGGCGGCACACTGTGTGATTCCCACTACGTGACACTCTTGAAAAGGCAAAACTGTAGGCGGAGCACAGGGGATGTTTGGGGCGGTGGAATTATTATTTATGATACTATAATCATGACTATATGTCATGATGCATTTGTCAAGACCTATAGAAATTTACAGGGCAAAGAACTAACCTTAACGTATACCAATTAAAAAAATCATTCCGTAGCTTGGGGGATTCTGACAAAGAATGCAGACAGTGACAAGAGAATCTAACTATCAAAATGCTGGAGAAAAGGCATGACCAAAGGGGCTGGAGAAAAAGGCATGACCTCCATCAGCAGGATTGGGTGGGGTCTGTGACACGAAAGGCAAAGGAAACTGCACACGAACACTGCACCCTGGTTTCCTGTGGGCACATGGGCTAACAACACCCCTAAACACAAGCATTGGAGTTGAATGGATGGACGGCATGTGACGGAAGTGGGAACTTACATCCCAGCAGGGGAGAGAGGCTAGAATGGAGACTGAACACGGAGCCGGCGGCCACATTGTACCTGCCCAGGCTGGTGCTCTCCTCCCTGTGCTGGGCCAGAGGGCTGAGAAGCAGACACTCCGGAAGCAATGAGCACACCTAGGCTCAGGTCTCGGTTTCTAGGACCATCTCCAGTGAAAGCAACCAGGGTTCCATCAGAAATGGTTGATTCCATGACGGGGCGTGAAACACACAAATGAGCCTGAAGCACCGGAAAGTACAGATGTGCAGAAAACCCAAAACAAAAGAAGCCAACCAAACAAAAAACAATCCAGACCCCAGTAATGGGGACAGTGGGGCGTGTCGGGGGCCCAGGAGCCACTGAGGGGCTCCACTTGCTGCGGCTGGAACAATGTCAGCAATCTAGTCAATAACATCGGAAACCACAAGTCCAGGTAATAAGCAAATAATTACATAAATTAACAAGCAGTCAAGAAGAGACAAACGCCCCGAGCAAACGCCCGTTCCTGCAGTGTGGGGCTCAGAGCAGCTTCCTTCCAAACAGCACAGTTCCCCCAGGGCCTTACCAGATGCAGCTCAGGCTGGGTCCCACTCACCTCGCAGCCCTTTGCTTGGCCCCAGCCTGGCCCTGAGGCCCCTGCTGTCAACCCATACCCTGCAGTCCAGCTGCCCACTGGCTTTTAGTTCCTCCATGGTCTCAGGCCCTGACATGACCTTCCCTCTGCCAGGGCACTCCGGCACCCTGAGTGTCTTCCCACTGCCCCTTCCACATAAGCCACTGTGAGCACCAGGACAGCTGGCCTCGTCCCCCTTGACCCTCATCCACCACATGGCCCTGAGCCTGGGTGGGGGTGGGGTGCCTCCTGGAGGGTTTTATCACAGGTGTCATCACTGGGCCGGCCTGTGGGTCAGAGACCCTGACCACCAGCCCAGGCCGTTCCTCTTAAAGCCCTAGGAGAGCTCCCCCAAACTCAGCCCTTCTCTGCAGATGCTGAGATAAGCTCAGGAACCTGTCATCATTCTAAACAGGTTTACAGCAGGTGACCAGGACACAGACTGAACAGAACAGAAAGTGGGGATGGTGTGGAGTGACTAGGTCGCCCTCAGGGTCCTCTGAGGCTCAGCCTGAAGGCCACGTCTTGGACCGCTTCTCCAGCCCCAGGCCCAGTGTGATGGCAGCTGCTTTCTGTCCATGTTCTCAGCACCCACTATTTATTCAGGGCTCCCATGGGCCAGGGACTCAGAGGCAGGAGGACATGAAGGGGACGGACCCTCGTGTACCTCATCAGCTCCACACTCTTTCCCACAGTACAAGGTCTCACCCTGCTCCCTCAGCCCGCTCTGCAGCGCAGCCAGGGGCCAAACCCAGCAGGGAGCTCGGCCTGCGGGCCCTCTGCTCCCGTTGTCCATGCGTAAATCACCCCTGCCCCTTCCAAGGAGGGTTTGAGGTGGCTAGTGAGCAGGGCAGTGCCTTCAGCATTTGAGGTGCTCTCATCCACCTGTGGTGACACACAAGTGGATGGGCAGGCGAGGAGAGAGACACCCACCCCCGCCCAGGGTCCTGGGGTGGCAGGATGGCAGGTCTGCTCACTCACAGATCACTCCCATGGCCACAAAAGCCAGCAGACCCTCTCCCTGTGGTCGCTGGCCTGGGGCCCCGCCCTGGTGAACACAGTGCCGCCAGTCTGGTGGTGCGTGCCAGTACCTGGCCGCGGCGTGTTTCACAGCTGTGCAGGTAGCTCAAGTGGTAGATCTTCAGGTTCAAGGTCCCGAAGTTCAGGTACTTCAAGAAAACCTGAAACAGACGATGCAACAAGAGGAGTTAAAAACTCTGGCTCTCAGCCGTGCGTTTGGGGGCCACATACACACTCAGACATGGACAGCTGTGCACAGTCCCCGCCAGGCACAGGACACGCAAGGACTCAGGGACACAGAAGCGGCCTGATGCTCACGTCTTCATCTTCGCTTGTGAAACACGGGCCGTCTAGCTTGTTCACGGCCATGACAACGGCCACCACGTCTTTGCCGTTCATGATGGGTGTGGCCAAGATGTTCCTTGTCACGTAGCCAGTCAGCTCGTCAGCGAAGGAGCTGAAGCGGGAGCTCTGGGAGGGGACAGGAGAGAGGCTGTCACTCTGTGGGCCTGGCGCCCTGGCACCCCCATCCCTGGGGTCCAGGCTGAACTCTGTGGAGGCCCCCAGGCCATCACTGAGACCCAGGTGGCCCTGCCCTTGGCACCAGGAGCCCGGGAAGCACATGAATACACAGCCATGGCCTGTCCTACAGACTCCAGCTTGGCTAAGCTTCTATCACCCACCTCAGATCCAATGGCCCCCAACTCTGATTCCAGACTCGGTAGAGTCCTCACGGGTGCCTGCACACCCTTGCATCCCACCTGGGCTGTGGGCAGACCTGGGTCCCCCCATACCTGTCTCCTTATGCTTCTGTCTCTCCCGCCCACACTGGCTTCTCCCCTCCACCAACCTGTACGCTCCTCCCGCCGCACACGCTCCTCATAAGTTTGGCCGAGTGAACAGTAAGCACCGGTCTCATCGGTGGTGTGTTGGTGACACAGCTGGCAAATTGGGTCGAGGCCCTTGCACCCCCAGGACCTGTCCATCAGCCACTGTGTGTCTCCCAGGCATGCGCCAGCTGTGTCCGCTCAGTGGGGTTCATTGGCCCCATGCTGAGAACTTTGTGGGGCTGGTTGGAGGGTCTTAGAGCTGGCTCAGGCCCAGGCTTAGGGTCCCCCAGGTGTCTGGAACTCTGTTCCCAGCCAGATCCTCCTGCTTCCTGAGTGCTGGCGTGTTTTTACATGAGACCATAGTGACCTGGTGCGGTGGCCACAGCGGTTGTTCTGGGTCAGCCCGCCTGGGGTGGGGTCTGGACTACCTGGTGTTTGACCTGCCCCTCTTCACCCGTCAGCATGGGCTGAACAAGGAAACCCCTGCAAATGCTCCCTATGATTTATTGGTTATCAATTATTGTTAAAGGAACTCTTTCAGGTGTGCTCAAGGACGACAGCAATCACAGAGGTGATGACCTCATGTGACTCCCAGAGGCCCTCTGCTGCTGGCCTGTCTGGTCTGGGGAGGCTTCACCCAGGGCCCAGCCTCCCTCGCAGCAGCGGGGCCGTGGGACATCCTGGGAAGCCTGCAGGGGGGAGGCAGCGGTCCTCCTAAGGGGCATGGGCTGGTGCCAAGTCCTCCCCGCTGTTTGCCATCCTGAGTCTTGGAGAGGCAGCTGCCACCTGCAGCTACATGGTGCCTGATGTCATCGGAGATCAGTATGCAAGCCCTGGTGACGGTGGCCTCATTGAGCGGTGGCACCAGCCCCTACTCACACCATGTCTATCTCCACCTAGCAGGACACTGGGCAGTGGCTTGGCCAGCGAAGGGCTCAGGGTCCTCGTGCCTGAGCACTCAGGGCTGTCACGCTCTTACAGCCCCTGCACCTGACATCCCCTCTCTGGTCCCTTCAGAGGCCCTGGCGCTCCACCCCGACTCGCCTTCCCGCCCTGTGCCCACGTGCCCGCCTGCTTCCAGCTGGGACCCTTCACGGCCATGCCAGAGACCCCCATGGCGCCCTCTGCACTGGGCCTTCCCTGGGGCCCGAGGCTGAGCTTCTCAGGGCCTCTGCAGGCAGCTCTCAGCCCCTACCACACACCCCAGGGCCAGTGCTGTGAGCAGAGTCACCTAAGGGCTGCGGTCACCAAGTTCTTCTCCCCTGCACCTGGGCCAGGAGCAAGGCTTGGGCTCCCCACCTGCGTTGCTTCTACTCCGCTGTCTGCCATGCGGCCTCCGCTGCTCGCCCAGCACAGGTGACACTTGTCTCCTGTATGTAACTCCTGGAACCAGACCTGACTACGCAGCTGGGCAGCCTCAGGGCTCCACACCCGCCACCCCCTTCCCACAATACCAGCCTTCCTGCACCTCCGTTCCAGGGACTGTCACCCACCCCCTGCCCCACAGAGGGGACCCTGTCTCACTGTGGCATCGCCCTCCCCTCAGACCCAGAGGCTCCCAAGCCTTCTGACTTGTCTAAGCTGTCCCACCCCCAGCCCCGGTCATCTGTCCCCGCAGCCTCCCTGGGCCCCACCTGCCATGGCCCATCTGTGCTCGCACGGCGGCCGGTCCTGCTGCCCTCGTTGTCCTAGCTTCTGGGAGCGTCCCGAGAACGCCCTCTCCCTCACACTGTCCCGTAGCACAACTGCCAGTTGCCACGACTGGTCTACACGCCTTGGTCACACACAGGACCCTCATGGCAAGGCATTTGGGGACCCACTGCTCTTTGGGTGGGGGTCAGAGACCAGCACAGAGATGGGACTTGAGTCTGGTCCTGGCTGGGGTGGGTGGCCATAACTCAGCCACGTGCTGCACACGAGCCTTTCGGGGCCTTCGGCCCAGCTGCCTAGTAAACAGCCCCGACACCAGACACTTGGCCATGCTTCGGGATTTTTGATGCACTTAATGGAAACTCACTTTTGTGCTGATTTTGACTCTGGTCTCTATTCCACTGCATCAGAGACAAAACCAGCGTGGCCTGAGGACTGAGGCCAGCACTGCCCCTGCCCCAGGAGGGAGATGTCTGATGGAGGCTAGAAGGCCCCAGGGAGAGACAGCCCCACTGGGGGCGGCACATGCCCTAGGACAGACCCTCAGAGCAACGATGAGACACCCACAGCACAGGTTTGGGTGTGGGGGTGCCTCTGGAGGCTGGAGGGACCACCCCAAACTCAGAGGAGGGAGGAGACAAGATACAGTGCCCAACACCCGCCCCTCGAACTTCTCCTTTTCTGGGTGATTCATGCTCCTGATATTCCAACTCGTGGGTGACCCATTTCTTAAAAAGGGGGGAAGATGAAGCTAATCCTGGAGATTATTCAGGTCGCTGGACCGAGGCTGCTTTAGAGCAGATGAGTTTAAGAGGATTGCAGCCCCGCAGCTCCCTTCCCCGGCGCCAGGGGTCCGGGTCTGTGCACATGTCCGTTTGTCTCTAGGGACAAGGGGACAGTGGCTGCTGGGGGAAGAGGCCCATCCAGGTGGGAGAGCTGAAGAGGCTGTCCGGCTCCCGGCTCCTGCTTCCAGCTCGCAGGCCGGGACCGCTGAGAGGCTCCCCTGCTCCTCTCAGAGCCCCTCGTTCCAACGCCAACCAGGGGCCATGCCCGTCACACAGCCCAGCCGGCGCCCCACGCTTAGTTCACAGATGGATAGCACCTTCCCTGCACCCCCCTCCACCCAGGGGCACCTGTCCCCCCTGGGGGGTCAGCCCAACTCCAGCTTTGTCAACAGCAACTCCTGCTCCTTCCTGGCCAGCAAGAACCGGTCCTCCTGGACCGCTCAGCTCCGGGCAGCGCTGCCACCCCTTTGCCCCCAGGCACAGGCTCGGCTCCCCCACACCAGTGAGCGGAGCAGCATGGCCTCCTGGCAGCCTCGCTCTGGGCCTCTGTCCCACCCTGCTCTGACCCCTTCCTCCCCACCCCTGTCCAGGGAGCCCCTGGCCATGGGGACAGCAGGACCTGCCGGCACCAAAGGGCTTCCTTCCTCGCCCCCACCCCCGGCCACCTTCCCGGGTCCCCACACGGCGTGGGACCTTCACGGCCCCTGCGAATCATGGCCCAAAACCCACCTGGGTCACATCCTTGACATTCACCATTTTCTTGGTCTGGGCAACGTGTCCCACGACTCCGATGTCCAGCGGGAAGACGATCTCAGAGTCGGGGGGCACCAGGCAGTCCTCCAGGATGCTGCCTGGCTGCACGCTGAAGAGGCGCGTGGCCAGTTCGGCCACGCCGTTGCGCTGGCGGTGCAGGAAGAGGCTGCAGCAGTCGGCCTGCAGCAGGGCGCCCAGTCGCCGCAGGACCCTGAACAGCACGCGCTCCATGTTCACGCTCTCCTGCATGTCCTGCACCATCGCGAACAGCGCCGCGGCCTCCTGCACCTGGCACAGCTCGCGGAAGCTGGCGCAGTCCCCCGGCAGCCCGTCCACACCGGCATGTGCCCCATTCTCCAGGCTCAGCTTCTTCCCAAAGTACCGGTCCGCAAAGCTGGGGTTCTGGTCCAGGAACTGCTGCACCTGATCCTCACTGAGGCTCATGGTGTCCAGCTGCAGGTCCTCGGACGGGGGCCGGTCCCCAGGGCACCTGGCTGCCAGCAAACGCTGTCATCAGCAAAGCCTCTCTTAGCCCCGATTAGCATGATGACACCCCCGTCGCCTCTCGCCTTAGGCCCCGTCTTCCCGCCCCCCTGGAATGGGCCTTCCAGGTAACAGCCCAGGGGCTCTCACCTGTGGCAGGGTCCCAGGCAGCTGGAGGCAGGCACGTGCTTCCAGGGGAGCAGGCCCTCACACCTCATCCCCTGCAGGGAGGGGAACCCCACGAACACTGTGAGCCTTTCTACCTGGTCCAGCAGGCAGCCCCAGGTCTCCTTGGTGCCTAGACTTGGGCTCAGGTGTGCTGGGCAGGTGTGGCATGAGCCCTCCTTTGGGTCCCCTGATGGCGCTGGAGGTCAGCAGGGGTGGCTTGGGGTCCCATCCCCACAGAGGGAAGTGGGGAGCAGGGAGGAAGGCGGCCCAGTGCCTGGGGTGGAGGTGAGAGGGGCTCATAGACTTTCCTCTTTGATGGAGAAGAGATGGCCTGTCACAGTCTGGCAGGTGAGGGGTTTGCAAGGCAGAATCAGTCACATTGACACACTGCCCTTATTTCACAGTTGTCTGGATGAACCCCTGTGGGCCTCTCTGCTGCCTGGTTCCTACTAACTGTGCACCGTTAGCTGTGCTGCCACACCCTCTCCTCTCAGAGTCCACAGCACAGGACCACCTGTTACAGGTAGGGTCCCTTCTGAGCAGCCGGGTCTCAAACAGGGACCAGCAGACTTGACAGCAGCAGGCACTTCCTCGCCGTTGACGGCCTTCTCCACTGCCCTGCATGTCATGCAGGTGTTAGCTCCTCTGTGATCCAGGCTGTGATCCACAAGGTTGGCTTACAACTGTAGGACTCAGCGAGGGTCTGTCTCTGTTGCAAGAGTGCCCTTCACTTCACGCAGAGGCTGTGTGCTGATGTGTGTGCCTGCTGGATGTGCGTGTGCATCCTGTGTGTGCGTACAGGTGCATGCATGGGTGTGTGCGTGCATGCTGGGTGGGCATCTGTGTATTTGGTGTGCATACAGGTGTGTACATAGGTGTGTATGTGCATCCTGGGTGTTCGTTCGTGCACGGGCCTGCGTGTGCATCCTGGGTGTTCATGCAGGTGCATGCACGGGCCATGCATGGGTACGTACATGTGCGTGCACGGGTGTATTGCATGCTGGGTGTACATGTGTACCCATGGACAGCTGGAAGATGGACGGTAGGAGCTATGTCTGTGGTGTGAGCCAGCGTGCGTAGCTCTCAGCAGAGATGGGGGGCGCCTGGCATTCGGGGCTCATGGAACCATGCCAGCCAGCCTATCCCCGGAGGAAGGACCCTGGGTCCCACCTAGCCTCGGACCAGGAACCACAAACCAGGGACCTCAACTTAGGAAATGGCCTGTTGTTTGTCTCTTCCTCATGTTGCCTGTGTCTATATTGTCACTATACTTTTAACCAGGATGCAGGGCTTGAGTGATTCTGACTTTTACTGCATTCAGCTGGTAAAAATGTGTGCACGTTCCCATGTGAGTGTGGACGTGCTTGGACAAGTCTAAGCTATGACCTGACACAAACCCAGGGGAATCACTCAAGCTTAAAAATTTTAATGTTGGGCCGTCCAAGTGGCGCGTTGGTTAAGAGCTGGCTTAGGACGCCAGAGGGCCCCGGTTTGGATGACACTGCCCTCCACAGCTAAGATGCTGAACAACAGCTCAACCTGGAGGGGCTGACTGGTTCGGCCCAGGTCCCCAGGCAGTCACAAAGTCCAGCAGAGCCTAGCTTGGAGCGGGGAGGGACCCTGGGGCAATGGGCTCCAGGGAGAAGCAACCCACAGCAGGCTTCATGCAATGGCTGCTTGTAGCTGAGCCCATGTCACAGACCGTGTGGACTGCCAAGCCTGAAACGTACCATCTGGCCTTTGACAGAAAACATTTGCTGCACCCTGGCTTGGGTTAACCATAGCCCACCCCCGAGCTACTTGGAAAAGAATGGATGTCTGAAGAGCACTGGGTCCTATGAGCATCCAGTGGCATCTGCTGGCACCCAAAGCCTATTACTACAGGTTTTGTTCCCCTCTTCGTCCTGCTTCTCAGCCAGGCAGGGAGAGTGGCGTGCCTGAGCCTGCAATGTCAGACTGGGACTCACCATGGGAAAAGGGAGTGAGACAGATTCAACACATTAGGAAACAAGTAAAAAGGGACGGGGCCTCACTTCAGAGCATATATGTGAGGGCTGAGACAGCAGCTCTCCAGGGATGACCACAAACCCGAGGACCCGAGGAACAGTTAAAAGCCAGAGGCTGAGGATTCTGGCTAAAGCCACAGGTCAGCTGCCTGAGGTCAGTCTGCTCAGAAGAAACTGTAGCTGGAAGCAAGGTGGCTTCAGGACCTGGAGTTGGCATAAAACACTAGTGCCCAGCTGGCATCATAAAACAGCAGCTAACATGCTGCTAAGAGGGTTAAGCTCTACCCCTTCCATCCCTGCAACTGACCTCGGGCAACTGACCCGTGTCTTTAGGTAATGGAATATGGGAGGGAGAATGTCTTTTCTTTTTTTTTTTTTTTTAGCTGAGCCATCCTGCCACCTGTTGGCAGCTCACGGCTGCTCAGCTCGGGCTGACTCGAACCACTGTTGCTCAGAGCTCAAACTCTTGAGCGAGCTCTTAACCAACTGAGCCACTCAGCCGGCCCCGAGAATGTCTTTTCAAAAGAGCCATGCAGTGGGTCCACCACTGCCCTTTGTCCCTCTTCCACAGAAGCATCAGTTCTCCAAGGGGCCATTCCCCAGATGCGGTCCTAGAATGAAGAGAGCACACCACAGCTGTTCTGCAGCTACGAGGTGTGAGGAGTAGTTTGGGTGTGTGAGCCGTACTCATCTGAGGCTGTTTGCTACCTCAGCAGAAAGCAAGATGCTAACTTCTTTTTTAAACACAAGTTCAGAGTTAAGTTAATCCTGTTCCCCAGTTCATGAGACATTATCATCATTGATCCATGCAAGGCCACTCTTGTATCTTATTTTATCTATCCATCATATCTGGCTATCCATCCATCCATCCATCCATCCATCCATCCATCCATCCATCCATCCACCTGTTCATGCACCCGTTTGTCCATCCATCTGTCTACCCACCCACCCATCCATCCATCCGTCCATCCATTCACCAACCATCATCCATTCATCCACCATCCACCCACCTAGTCATCCATCCTCCATCCACCATCCATCTGTTCATGCATCTGTTTGTCCATCCGTCTATCCACCCATCCATCCATCCATCCATCCATCCATCCATCCACCAACCATCATCCATCCATCCACCATCCATACACCTAGTCATCCATCCATCCATCCATCCATCCACCATCCGTCCTCCCAACTCCTGTCTTCAAGTCTAACCCTTCCAGGCGGAGTATAAATAAAAAGTGAAATTTTCTTTTATAAGTTCAAGTTCAAACTAGGGATTCAATGTACTCATTGTTATTTTAAGCTACTAAGCAATGTTTATAGTATTAAGTGGCTAGATAATAAAAGAAGAAAGGTCTCAAATCAGAACTAGAAAAAGAAGAGCAATCTAAAGCCAAAGGACTGGGCCGGCCGAGTGGCATGTTGGTTGAGAACTGGGTTGGGGTACCAGAACGCCCTGGTTCGGATCCCACATATGAGGGCCAGTGACACTGCCCTCTACAGCGAAGATGATGAACAACGGCTCAACCTGGAGCTGGGCTGCCATGAGTCGCTGGTGAAGGCGTAGGCTGCAGCCCCTGTGGCAGTGGGTTGCCATGGGCTACCATGTGTAGCCAGCAGCCAGTGTGAGTGGCTGGCAGCCACTGTGAGCGGCCGTCCGGAGGCCGGCGACTGATCTGCCTCACCTGGGAAGAGTGCAGTGATGGTGCTGGCTTGGGCCAGTGAAGCGATGTCCTCCACGCTGGACTGAAGAACAAAAGGACAGCAACTTGTCTGTTCCCCTTCCCCCAATTCCCCAGTGCTGCTCCCATCCCCCAATTACCAATAAAAATTTTAAAAATAATAATAATAATAATAAATAAAGCCAAAGGAAGCAGAGAAAAAGGGAATAATAAAGAGGAGAAATCAACAAAAAAGAAAACAAAAAATAAAGGAAAAAATAAAACCAGCTACTAGGTTTTTTAATTATCAAAAATATTGCTAAATCTCTAGCCAAATTGATCAAAGAAAACTACACAAATTACCAATAACAGAAATGAAAGAGGGACTTTCACTACAAATCCTAGAGACATAAAATAATTAAAATAATTTTTAAAACATTTATTCTTTCATTTTTATTGAAATGAAATGACACTGCTCTCCACAGCTAAGATTCTGAACAACAGCTCAACCTGGAGCTGGGCTGCCGTGAGTCGCCAGCAATGGCATAGGCTGTAGCCCCTGTGGCAGTGGGTTGCCATGGGCTACCATATGTAGCCAGCAGCCAGCGTGAACGGCCGTCCAGAAGCCGGAGACTGATCTGCCTCACCCGGGAAGAGTGCAATGATGGTGCCCACTTGGGCCAGTGAAGCAACGTCCTCCACAACTAGACTGAAGAACAAAACGACAGCAACTTGTCTGTTCCCATCCCCCCAATTCCCCAATAAAATCTTTAAAAAAAAAAAGGACAGTAACATGTCTGTTCCCCTCCCCCAATTCCTTAGGGCTGTTCCCATCCCAATTCCCCAATTAAAAAGACTATATACTTTATGATTCTAGGTGTGTGAAATTTTATACAAAAACTATGGCAACAGCGTGCAGATGGGCAGTCGTGTGCAACCCTGGGCGGAGGACAGGAAGACACCAACGGAAGCTGAGGAGGCTGGGACGCCCCACACGTGACTGTGGGTGTGAGTTATACTGATGCACACAGATGTCTAAACTCATCAAATTGCACACTTAAAATGGGTGACCGTTGTAGCATGTAGGTAAACTGTATCTCAATAAAAAAGTGCATAAAATGCTGGACATAGATATTACCCATGATCCCACAAATGTACGCCCAAGTGCACCCATGCACACATTTAAGAAAGTTCACAACCGCTTTATTCAGAATTTTCCCAAACTAGAAACTATCAAATGTTCAGCATCAGTAAAATGGCTAAATACATCGTGGCATATTCACACAATGGCCGTGGATCCAGCAGTGAGTCAACGACTGCAGATGTAAGCTTCACAGACGCCAAGTTGAGTGAAAGAAGCCAGACATATGACAGTCGTGCTCTACGGTTCCATTTAGACAAAGGTCAGAAAACAAGCATCCCAAACAGAAGTGTCAGAGTGCGCGCCTGGTGATAAAGTACAAACACACACAAGGAAGTGCTTTCAAATGGACTTAGCATAACGTATTATGCGAAGGGAGGCACTCAAGTCTCAGAACCTGTTTCTTGATTTGGTGGCAAGTATATAGATGCTCACTTACAAGCCAATAAGCTGTTACGTGTGAATTTAATGGATATTTCTGTGGACCTATTATATTTCATAGGATAAAAGCTTTCAAAATAATAGTTAAAGAGCATTCTGCATCTTCAAAAACTGACTGGCTCTGGTTCTGTGCGAGTGAGGTCTTCAGATTGATCGTCACCAACACAGGCTTGGCACAGAGAAGCACACACTCCGTCTGTAAGTGAAGATTGATACTGATCCGTCCTGGAAAAAGGGAGCTGAGCATTAGTAAGAAGATAAACTTTGAGTATTTAGCCAGATAAAAAGATAAAGGATAAAAAAGGCGAAAAATGATAAAATAGAAAAAAATAATTAGAATCGACCCAATTAGTTGAAGTCAATACTCTAGGAGATTGCATTTCAAATGCTAATATTGTAGATATGTAAATAATAAAATGTGACTTTAGAATGATAGGGAAAATATTCACTTGACACATGGTTACTGTTGTAATCAGAAATCACAGGACCATTTAGAAACATAAGCTCTGGGCTCTGGTTTCCTGTCTTTACCACGGGGCAGTGACAGTGAGGAGAGAGCCGCAGAGTCCCTGTAACACGCGGGGTATGTGGTGGGCTCCATGATTTCTAAAATACTTCCCCATTCCCTGCGACCTGCAGAAAGTCGTTTTTCACTAAAGTAGCTTCTTTCCGGAGTGAGTGGCTCAAATTGCCTGGCTATTGACCTCCTCTGCTCTGGGGTTCCTTTCAGCCAGCTGATGGGGAGCCTCCCAAGTGAGCCTGGCAGGGGGTGGGGGGAAGGATTCCTGCAGAAAGCCACCAAATCAGCTTTCCAACGTGCACTTCACAGCCCTGGCTATAGGTCTTCCCTGTGATACGTGCGGTTCTGGGGTCCTTGAGAGCCCAACCGACACCCTGAAGGGCGCTTTGTAGGACAGGACCACAAACTGCTGCCCCTCCACCCTGCAGACACAGAGGCACTGACTGGGGGGAAGACAGCTACTCTCAGCTGAGTGCCAGGCAGTGGGTGGGGCAGCGGCAAAGCCAGGGTGGCAGTAAATGCCACCAGCACCCTGATGGGACAGGACCCCCTCCCCCGAGCATGCCTCCACCCATGCAGTCTTCCCGTGCCAGCGCTCCTTCTAAAACACACAGTGTGTTGTCCTGACCCTCTAGGGTCTCCCCATCCTCCGGGTGAAGTGAAGACCCACCAGGACAGGCCACCTCTCCCCTCAGGGCCTTTGCTCCCTCCTCCTGGCCTCCTCCCAGACAGCCTCCCGCACCTCAACACAGAGGTGGGCGCCTCTCCTGCCTGCCTGGCCTGTGTCACCCTGTGAGCAGAACCAGACTGCCGTTTAGATTCTGTCACAGGATAGAGTGACCCAAGGTTGGCTGACCACTCATTCAGTCATTCATTCCATGCAGCCCAGGCAAAACGGAGTCATGATGGGGCCGGGGGCAAACTGGACCCGGATCTGCCTGCTCTGAGCTCCCAACCTGGTGGGAAACACTCGGACTACCCCGAGGTGATCCTGCCCATTATGGGGGAGCCTATGCCAGAGGGTGGGGGTGTAGGGAGGCAGGGGTGCAGGGAGGCGGTGTACAGAGCCTGGTTTCAATCCTGGCTTCATTGGGCACGTATTCATGGGAATCCTCGGTGAGGATAACAGGCTAAGCGCTCATGAGGGTCTGGGGACCTCGGGCACCGGCCAGAAGGCTGTTACTGTTAGGTGAGCTGACGCTAAGCGCTAAGGAACGGGAAGGCCAGAGCCCGGCCTGGTGGGCTTGGGCCACACGAACCACAGCAGAAAGAGGGAGCAGCACATGCGAGGGCGCTGTGGCAGGAAGAGGTAGGGCAAGTGTGAAGGCGGGGAGGTGGTCGGTCTGGAAGCGTCCTCGCGAGGAGCTGCGCGGCTGACCAACCTAGCTCGGACCCTGGACTGCCCAACGGGCCCCGGCGCTCCTGGCCCCGCCCCTACCCTTCCGCCCCGCGGAGGAAGAGAGGATGTCAGCGCACTGCTGCCCCCAAAACCTAATCGATCTGGCCGAGCAGGCTGCACTGGCAATGGAGAGGGTGCTCCATCGTGTTTCTGCACGGGGGTGGCTGCAAACCTCGTTGCCCTGGAAACCGAAATAATCATTGGAAGGCAGCTCATGGCAACTCCGCGTGTGGGTGCTGATAATCAAGCGGGCTGATTTACACAACGTCCTCTAAAAGCGCATATGCCATAAATGTGAAAGAAGGCTCGCTGTCCTCAGCGTTCTGGGAAGTCACCACGCGTGCAGGGGACAGCACGAGGCGGTCCAGCCGCGGTCCTAAAATCTGCAGTCCCTGCTAAAAATACAGCGAAACCTGCTCCTTCCCGCAGCGATCGCAGCTCAAGTCAGTCCCACGCAAATGTGCAGAGCCCACGAAGGGCCTTCGCAGATTCACGGGGCAGATGGCTTCCGTGAAAGTGGGCGAGGGGCCCCTGCGCGCGGGCTGCCTCTCCGTGGGTGCGGCTGCGTCCAGACGCGAGGGGCCATCGGGGGCTGTGCCCGGGCTCACCAGGCACCAACCGACACTCTGCGCGAGCAGGGCACGAAGCAGTGCGCTCCGGGGGTGTCTCCACAGCAGAGCTTGCTAAGTGGGTGGCAGGAACGGAGGTGTGTTCTCGCAGCACCCCTGCGCGCACGCGCGCACCCGCTTTCCCTCGCTGCAGCCACGCCTGCCTCTCCGGGATCCAGCGCAAAGTTATTTAACGCTGTAATTAGCCGCCAGCGTGAGTCATCGGCTCCCGGGCCTCGGGCTGCGGCGTCAGAGACCGTGCTGAAGGGGCCGCGCGCAGGCCCCAGAGGGCCTCACAGAGACGCCCCTTCCCCAGGCCTCCTTCCGGGAAGAGGATGGAGCGCCCCGAGAGGCCTGGGGGAGGCCGTCCCCCCCGTCCCACCCATCCCCACGCCTTCCTCTCACCCACCTGGAGTTCTCGCGGCCGGAATGAGGCGATTTGCACCCCGCCCCCGCCCATGTGCACTCGGGCCGCGAACCGCCTTCTAATGAATTAACTCGCACCACTCGCGTCTGGGGGGAATTCCTGCACCCGGGAAAGGGGCTCCTCCAAGGTTCAGCCTGGGCTTCCCCTCTCCCCCTGCCGCGCGCCAGCGGGCGCGTCCCAGGCTGCGCGGGAGGGTCCGGCCCCGGAGCCCCTCCCCCCAACCCCCGCATCGACTCCGCGCCCCGCCCCCG